TTATCGATTATCGTTATTTGCTGGATAAAAGCACAATTTTTGGTACAGGGCTTCGTTAGGACTTACTAAACGATATTAGGCTAAGAGCCCCCGGCAGCAAAATCGATTAAAGGGTGTGGGGGCGGGAGCGTCTTTTTGGAGCCCCCAAATAATTTTACAACATTGATTTGTTGCTGTACAAATGCCGTTTTTGGTACAGGGCTCCCTTAGGACCTTCTGAACTATATTAGGGAAGGAGCCCCGGCAAAAATATCATATAAGGGTGTGGGTGGGGGCGTCGCCTCGTAGCCCCCAAATATTTTATAAGATAATATAACATTGGGTTTTTGTGAAACCCATGGGGCCCCCAATCGCACATATATGAATAATTATGCCGGGGGCTTCTACCCTACCATCATTCAGCACAGGCGCGGATCCGGGGGGGGGGGGGGGGTAGTGAGCACTATTTTTTAAATTTGTTTTGCTCCCCAAAATTAGAAAATCGCGCCGGCCGAAAATTCGCTCAGTGTGGGGGGGGGGGGGGATGGAGTGTCGAAAATTTAAAAATTTTCACCCCAAGGGGTAGGGGGGGTTCGGGCTCCCCGGGCCCCACTCCCTGGATCCACCACTGATTCAGCAGGTCCTAATGAAGCCCTGTACCAAAAAGGATGACTGTACTACAAATCTCAATGTTATAATACCTTATGAATTTTATGTGGTCTACGAGGCGACGCCCCCGCCCACACCCTTAAATGATATTTTTGCCGAGGCTCCTACCCTACTATCGTTCAGTAGGTCCTAAGGAAGCACTATACCAAAAATGGTGCTTTTGATCTGGCAAGTAACGGTAATTTCACTAACTCTTAAGCTGCCCCTATGCAATTCACCCAGTGCCACAGTGCTAATCCCTATTGTGCCCGCTACTAATCTCCTGTGTGCTAAGTTAATTTAGGGTTGGTTCAAGTGCGTGTAGTTTAAATTGTTACTATGTTTGATCCACTATAACATCTCATCTGTATATTGTATAAAAAAGAATTGTACGTTAAAGTTGTAGGAAATTTAACTCTCTTTCTGTTGATACCAATATCATTTCATGAATCTGTAATTTTGGTAAAGTAAATAAGCACTATCAGTGAGTTGTCAAACCAATCCGTTGTCTCATTTCCCGCACACAATCTGAGGGGCCATGATCAAAACTGACTAATTTGATGATAAAATATCGCAATTTTCTCAGGAAAATCCAATGTAACGGTATACGTGAAGCACGCAAAATCAAAACAACAATAAACCCCCTCCACAAATACAGTAAGCATTCATGCGTGCACGCAATGCGCATCGCACAATAGGCATAAACAATTAGCTTGTGTACTTATGCACGAAAATGTGTCCGTGGCACGCGAGCGGATGAGAGTTTATGTGTCCATGGCAAGTCAACAGAAACCCGATTATGTGTGCGTGGCACGCCAGCGCATGCACAGAACAGTGTTCTTGGCACGATAAGAGCTAAGCCACCTGAATATTAAGCTATTTTTCACAAAATTTCTCGTACATTGATTGCTTGAACAACTATGGTGATTATTATTTGGTCATCAATGCCGATCAACTTATTGTTAAAATGTGACAAACATTTATCTTCATGTGATTTATACCGCCTTGGGAGAGAGAGAGAGAGAGAGAGAGAGGAGGAGGGAGAGAGAGAGAGAGAAGAGGGGGAGGGGTGATGATGACATTGGTGATGACAATGATGACTCTCCCTGTTGAATTGCACGACAAGGTTTATTTTTTTCTGTAGTTACATGTACTTATTTCGATTTAGTCATACAAAACATTTGAATTTAAAATGCACATTAAAAGGTATAAGTTTACTTGTTTTTGATAAAGGAAATTGCTTTAAGGAGTGGGATATTATTAGTACATGCTTTAATATTATTGTATAAATATCATTATTATACATGTATCATCACCATCACCCTTGGTGCCATCATCATCACTACTACCATCATTTTCACCACCACCATCATCACTACTACCATCATCATCACCACTACTACGATCACTATCATCATTATCACCACCATCATTACTACCATCATTATCATCACTACTACCACCATCATCACTACTATACTATCATCACTACCATCATCATCGTCGTCACTACTACCATCATCATCACCACTACTACCATCATCATCACCACTACTACCATCATCATCACCATCATCATCACTACTACAATCATCACCACCAGCATTACAACTTTCATTATCACCATCATCACCACCATCATTACTACCATCATTATCATCATCATCACTACTACCACCATTACCACCACCATCAGCATTACTATACCATCATCACCACCATCATCATCGTCGTCGTCACTACTACCATCATTATCCCCACTACTACCATCATTATCCCCATCATCATCATCACCACCAACATCGTCACTATTATCATCATCATCTTCATCTATTCACAGTAAAGTTTTCAATGAATTCGGTGTTGTCTGCCAAAGTTAGCTTACAGTTTAAATTTTGATATTAAATATGCAAATCATGTAAGTTCCACTGCAAACCACCCTTAATGCTGTGGTTCATAATTTGAAGCAGTTGATAATTGTCATAGATATTACAAATTCAAAATTATTCAGTCTAGTCCATTTTCAAGGTGGCATATTTTTACAAGTTTTAACTTTCTTATTGTAATTTTAACACAACTATTGTGAGAACATGAAAACAGAATTTAAAATTCTTGATTTCAACAATTACACCATAAAACTTTCATCCATTTGAAAACGTTACAACTACATGTACATTTATTTCTAAAAGGGCCCTAATTCACCCAGTCAACCTTTCATTCTTAAGTTACAAAAAAATGCATCCCCAAAAATCACATTTACAAGGAGTATGAATAATTCACTTGTTAACTCTATATTTTATATCTCAAACAATATTGTTGACATTTTCGTAGCACATGTACATTGCAAAAAGGACATGTACACGCATACAGTGCAAGCCCATTGACATAACATGATGGAACTGACAAGGAATATCCATTAGTTCACAGCATATGCTCTGAGGAAAAGTAGAAATATTGAAGAAATACATTGGTAAAAATGTAATGAACTGGATAATAATAACAAATTATGAAATATTCTAAGTTATTCCATAATACACATATATACATGTAATAATATGTATGTTAATTTCAATTAAACTGTTCTGTAGTTGTGATGTTATGTGGACAACCCTCACATTTGCTTTTATTGACGCAAAAAATACATTACAGGATAAGAGAAATGTAATTGCTTTGGAAATACTTTCTTGGCATCTACTAAATGTCCCTTTACTTGCTGTAATCACCTGATAGCGAGCGGCCGCATCACAATGGTCGGAATGCGAATTGCATTCATTTGCGTTGCTAGCTGGGATAAGCTTTTTAACTTGTCCCGGCTGGCAACAAGCACTGCGTACCTTCTATTGGGGTGCGATAGTTTGTTGTCAGGTGTGCGTATGGCATTTTTAATTAGCGTTTGATGATGGCGTGTGTATAAATTTTGGCCTCATAGGGAAAATCGTTTATTGACGTTTATAGTTGAGGATCGATTGTCGGATAGAGAATTAGACAACACAGTGGGCGGGTCTCTCGCGTGGGGTTTGGAATTACATGGTGTTATGCTGGGCGCGTCCGGGATCCGTGAATAATGCTATGGTCACATTACCCAAAAGTAGGCTGCTCGGCGGCCGAGCGGCGAGTTATTAACAAATTCTGCCCGGCGGCTGCCCGGCCACCGAGCGGCGGCCGCCCAGGCACCGCTCGTTTTTAGGGCATCGCTCGGTCGCCGCTGAAGTTTTAGCGCGGAGTTAAAATTTGGGCGGCGCCTGCTCATTTTTCACTCGCCGCCCAAAATACGCTCGGTGCCTGGGCGGTCGCCGCCCAGGCACCGACCTAATTGCTGGGCGATGCTTAATTCCAGCAGCGACCGAGCAGGCTACTGATCGGTCGGTCGCTGCTCTGATTTGTGACCATAGCTTAAGGTAGCATATTTTGTACTTGTTCATTCACCTATACAATTGCTTTGATTTCTTTCCCCGGACGCGCCAGGCGTTACATGTGCCTTCCACACGCTTTGCAAGAGAGTTCTTCTCCATTTCTCTTTCTCCCTTTCTCTCTCTCTCTCTCTCTCTATCTCTCTTTCTTGCAGTCGTTCCTCTTACTGATTCGCGCATAGCGGGTTAATTATCCGCAAATCTCAGCAATTGTAAATGTATAGCCTTTTCTTGCTTTTAATTGTTTTGTTTCATTGGTTAACACGAAAGAGGACATGCAAGTGTTATACTCAGCAGCTTGTGCATTATTTTTAAATTTCTATTTACGTAATGTTTCTTTTAATTGTACCTGGACCCCAGGAAGAACAGTGTCATATATTTTTATGACACTGAACGGGCAATCCAGCCAATCATTTTTAAGCAATCTATATACACATGTAATTTTTTTTTTTTTTTAATTCTGTTATGTTTCATTTCGTTTTATGTCATATGTTATTTGTCTTTTTTAATATGATTGGAAAATAAATACAATACAACAATACAACAATACAAACAATGGTAATTAATCAATCAGCAGTTTTTCTATCTTTAAGTCCTCCAAACTATATTAGCTATAGAAACTACATGTACAAGATTTGATATACCCGAACACATGTTCATTTAGATCATTTGCTGACATTTAACAAAAAAGATCCATTACTTATTTCATCTGGGGACAAAATAGTATCTCATTTGAAAACTTACATTTAGTTGATACGTATAGAGAATATATGTAACAATCTTACCTCAATCTTACATTATTCTTTACACTACCGTTTTGGAAAATTATGACATATTTTTTTTGTAATGAACAAAGTATTATGCTGAATCATAAATATGTAATTATTACAGCTTTGATACCAAGGAAGAATCATATGCAACAAACAAACATGTACATATTCACATCATTATGGATACTCATGATTTTTTTTTTTTTAAAGCTATCCTCACACTTTTTCCTTCTGAATATACAATGAGGTATAACATACCTTTTAGATTCAATGGCGATTTAATCAATTCATAGTGAGCATGCTGTAAATATATTCTTACTTGACCAACTATACCTGCATGTATCATAATGCAAATGCATTTTTCTGAAATATTGAAAATAAAAGAGCACTGTTTATGTACTGTTAAGCCAGGATGTGAAAATAATTGCACAGGAAATGACAAGAATGGTTGATGATACTTTTTTTTGTTTGGTAACATGCATTACAAAGACATTAATGTATGGAAATTCATAAGTATAACATCCGTGCATGTCAGTTGAAGGAGTGTTCTAAAATTCCCTTTTTAGGAAACTTCCAACTTTAATTTTAAGACTACAACAAATTTAAAGCGTTTTGCTGCTTTTTCTCATCAATTGATGTACCTAGTAACATGCTATTAAAGTAAATCAATGCGGTTGTAGTGAAGAGAAAAGAATTGCACTAACTCGTACATGGATCCTGACAAGATTCAGATAGTTAGACAGTGAAATTTTTATGACTTACATTTTGATTTTCAAATGACAGTGTTTCTCCCTTTTACATTTTAATGTTTGATGAAATTAATAACAAGCGTACTGAACTGAAATATTGCCAATTAAAAAGCATTGTTTATGTGCTACAGTATAAAGCAACATTCCTTTTGAAGGAAAGGATAAATGATCCAATATAATGTCTAACTATCTGATTCTTAGCTTCCTTCACCTTCACCTTCACCTATCCCACAGTCTGGCTGACCCTTGGGGCACCACTGAAGATTTATACTACCAGCTTCCTCCACTCCTCGTGGTTCTTGGCTTTACGAAGTATGATGTTTCAGTCAAGGTCACTCGTTAATGTTGTCTTCCCATCGTTTCCTCTGCCTGCCTTTTCGTCTCCCTCCTTGTACTGTTCCATGTAGAATAGTCTTGGCCAGTCCACATGATCATGTGACATACCCATACCACTTTACTTTGCATCTTTTCACTGAAGTCAGGAGGTCTTCATACGGCCCTATGGTGTTTCCAATTCTGATTTTCACTACCTCGTTGGTTATGTGATCTCTATACCAGATACTGAGGAGTTTGCGGAAACATTTCATCTCCAGTGCCTGTATCCTTCTTTTAATGTCTGCTGTCATGGTCCATGTTTCACATGCATACAAAAATATGGACATATGGACAAGATCCTATAACCGATTTTGAATGGGTGGTATTCGTTTTCGACTGAAACACTGCACATGTGTGTTACTTCCAGCCTGCATAGAAAAAGAAGAAAATGATAGCGTGAATGGTAAAAATACAACAATCGCGTAAACAAATCAAAATTGATTCTATCAGGGTTTTACAAAAGGTCTCTAATAAAAAAATTAAAATCATATCAATTCTTTAACCTCCATGTAACAAATAAAGTGGGATAGACTTCTTTTTTAAATTCATGTATGCTCCAAAGCCTTTCTTTTAGGAATGAATGAATGCATCTAATTAAGAACACAAACTGATTATTATCGAACATGTCATTATCAAGTCCCTAGATATCATTCTTTATATACTGTACATTTATCTACAGAGAGAATGATTGGAAATTCAATTTTAAATATATATCTAAAGGCTATCCTCCTACATACGTGGAAAAGGTTCTCTCATACTGTAACCACTTTGACATATAATCTATTAAGAGGTAATGACCACATCATCTTGAAAAGCCTTGTGAGGCATTTTTTCTATCTACACATATAAGTTATAAAAAAAAACATGAATGGTGCCACTTGTTGATTTCCCCTTTCTGTAAAGGAGGTTTAATTGAAAATTGTATAGTTTAATAGAACCATGATCATAGATTTGCAGGATATCCTCCTGAATATGATAATGTTTATGGGTGAGTGTATATTACATGTAGGTACATAATAATTACAGTACTGTTTCATCAGGGTTAGCATTAAAACAGTTATAAATCAAATCATGAAAACATGAAAATATGAACTTGCAAAGATGCATTACAATTAATCTATAACTATTTAATTATATTGCGAAAGTGTATTGGAAAAAGAGGGAATGTTCACTACACACACTGATGAAACTTGGTTATCAAAGGGGAAGTCTACCTTGATATAATGATGGTTTTGAGAAAAGCAGAAAAACTACAGACAAAAAACTCAATGACCAAAACAACACGTCTGCAACTACCTAAAGAGAAAGGAAAAAAATCAACTACAGGCAATTTCGGAAAGAGTTCCATATATATAACCCCACTAAAATCGATGCACAGCTGTATAGCCTACCCTCACTCTCATCCTAATCCTAACCCAGCATACCCATATTTTTTCCTTCAATTTTAGTGGTGGTTACGTGTACATATGGAACTCTTGTCGTAATTTTGATGGCCTTGCAGGGTTCATCTTCTGAAACTTGCAAACATTACAAAGATGTATTTACAAAGATGTATTATAGAATCAGAACATAATTGCCGGAGTTGATTTGAAAGTTGTTGGAATGGTGTTAAATGCAAATTAGCATCTTGTGAATGGTGTAGACTTTATTTATTGACATTCCTCTTGCAATTTCTTTTTAAGGCTACAAATATTACTGTTATGATAATTGTAGATCTATCACATAAAAGATGACAAGTGACGTTTGAAATTAGATTTGGCTTCCTACATAATTAATCATAAAATGTCTCAAATTTATTTGCTTTGTGTTTCTGCTACGTGTATACATGGTGATGGTCTTTCTCTTGCTCCCTTATTACTCTGCAAGGAAAGACCCAGTATTTAACAGCTCATTGCAAAAACTATATTGTGTCTTGAGTGAAGCCCAAACTGGTTCCTGCTGCTTAGCCTTGGCTGCATTCTCCTTATAGTCTTCTAGCTCAGATCCTCTCTTCCACACTTCATTTCATTATCGCAATTTGTTCTTATATCTTATGGGTTACCGGTACATATCCCTAATCTATGTGAATCATGCATTATGTTGCTGACTGAAGAAAGCAATTTCTAAATTTGCAACTTAAAAGATCTAAGCATACGTCAAAGGGCTGGCTCAAAGAATACATAGAAGCCAGAAAAACAGGAAGGGGGTGGGGGGGGGGGGGATTGGACTCAAATTCATAAGATTTCACAAGAGGACTTTATGAAAGCAGGTCATTGTATACAATAAATAAATATAGTTGTACTTTGAATCATCTTCACATGAAAAGGACTTACAGGTAAGTAAATGTTTTTAAGATATTGTTACATGTACCTGCTACTGCTACCTGGAGCTAACCCTCGTCGCTGAGAAATAGCCTTGAAGTATACTGTTTGGTTGAACGGAAATTCCATTTCAGCTGTATACTACCGCAAATGTCTGACAGTTTGCTCCAAAGAAGACTGTAGTTTGGGTAAGAGCAATAGTTACAATTAAGTATAAGTATACACATGTAAAGTTGCATTTATACAGAACTATTACAGTGACATAATAACAATATTGCAACTTCCTGCGATCAAAAAGGGGAAGAGAGAGGTAGCTAGAGTGATTGAAAGTAAAAAAAAGGGGAAAAAAAAGAGGGGAAAAGAGGGATAAAAAGGTAGAAAGAGAGAGAGAGAGAGAGAGAGAGGATATAATTGAATCAGGAGCTGCCAAGACATATACATTTCTACTCATATGAATCTGCATAATAATATACAATACAAAAACTACATGTAGGTATTGTTAATACATGTTCATGCAGATCTGCTGAAATGGATGATATAAAATCAATGTTTGGTAGTTGTTGCTTAACTTGAAATAAATATTTGAAGAGCTGCATGAATAAGTATATTATTTTCTTTCAAATCAATGATGGTATTGTTTCCAAGAAATAAGAGTGACTTAAATTGAAAGTTTGTTTTAAAATGTAGAAGCCACAGTATTCTTGTGCACTGATGCATGCAACATGCTATCTTTAACATTTGAAATGTGATACGTCTAGCAAAAACAATCCTAACTTAAGTTTGTGGGGTAGTATTGTTCCTTGTACACAAATGGTATTTAGATAATACTAACACAGCACTGCCAACAAAATGAATGGATGAGTACCGTTTAAAACTTTAAAATGTATCCAATAAAAATATTGTTGCATATTCTTTTTAGACAGTAGACACCCTGTAGAAAAACAAAAATCCTAAGTTTTTACTGCAAGCTATAATTATTATTTCATTTGGCATTGCAACAATGGAAACAATAAATTACTGCTAAAATGTATGGACAGTCAGATTTTATGCAAATTTAGTCTCAAAGTTACTATTCAGTGCGTATAATAAAAAAAAATGTACCAGTTCCAACTTTGGTAACTTAATTATAAAGTTGATGTGCACTGTAAAACTTACAGGTTGCAATCCACAGCAGTCATTAATTTTGCACAGGGGGGGGGGGGGAACAAATTTCCACACCCAACCCTCTTTTAAAGACTAAAACCATAGACCGCTAAAACCAAGGAACGGCTCTACGTAATATGTACACTGTATACAATATATACCAAACTGAATGGAAATCATACCAGAGTTGAAGAATAAATGAAAAAATAGATGTGCATAAGAATAACTTTGACATAGACACACACAAACAAAAATCCAATAAATTTTAAAAGGAAGACTGGCCAACTTTTAATGCTACATGTAGTATATACATGTAGGAGATTGCATATACTGTAGGGATAAGGGGTAATCTTTTGGAAATTGGATCAAAATAGAAAAAAAAAATCATTTAAAGGAGAAAACATTATGCAATTAATATCTTTGTACAGGAAATAAATAAAATATATCAATAAAAAACAACTACAAACAAACAAAAATAAAGGATAATCAGCTGATTATTGTTGGAGAAAAACATTATCTTTTTAATATGCAAATTATACTTTAGTTTCATTTATTTCTATACAAATTCAGACAAATTGCAAAATATTATGGTAATGAAAGATAACTGACCATGGTTAGTTAAATCTTAGGTAATCAATAGTATTCAATGGTTTTGGATCCTCAGAGAAACATGTATTTTAACTCAAATTATATTAATTAATTTAGCTTTACCTAATCTATAGAACATAATGGAAATTGAATAGAAAAGCTGTATTTTCCACTCAATAATATGACTCTTCTGAAAATATGTGCACATGTACATGTAATGTACATGTAGGGTCTTACTATATTAAAGATTTGTAATAAATAGTTTTTAAAATGGCATAAGAATATGAAGAGGGAGAAAGTGCAACATGGATGCTTCACATTATACACTGTCGCTCATATAGTTGGAATATTTTTGTTTTACCCCACTTTATGGAATTATTTTTAAAATAATTTAAAAATAATAGATCTAGATAATAGTATCCATTCTCCGATTTTATTGAATAATGATTTGACAATGTGTGTTTTGCGTGTCTGCTAAAGCATGTGTATGCTACTATGCTTATCAAATAGGGGACCTACGCCCTTAAGTCATAAATGACAGTAACGAGGATTAATGCCCCACAAAAGGGCACTAATATAGCACATCGACACGGTTTTGATCCTGGGGCCTCACAGTTACGAGGCCATTGCTTTGTCACTGAACCATGACTGTACGAAGCGGGGGCTAGGATAGGGGGCAGTTTCCATAAACAAAATAAAAAACAGAAAATGAAATTTATTGCATTTTACCCCGGTCCCCAACATAAACAAATACTCTGAATGGCCATGCATTATGGCTCAAAAGCTATTCAGTTTTCTATTAGAGGGATATCAGATGGATATTTAAAAAGGGGTGATGATGTTAATGCAGAGGTGATAGAGAAGGGCAGATTAGAAAATAATTCTGAATTCTGAACCTTACAATTTTCCTTCTACATACCAAAGTAATTTACATTTCATTTATTTACTGACAAATAATTGCAGTCACTTTTGCAATCAATAATAGTCACTCTTTCCAGTTTATTATTCTCATACATGTATGATCTCCTTTTCTCTCTCTTTAAATATCTCTCTCTCTCTCTCTCTCTCTCTCTCTCTTCTCTCTTTGCAGCTGCAAGTTCCAGGTACTGTTTTGTTTTAAGTTTGTGCAATGTTAAGCACCTAACAGGAATAAAGGTACATGGGTGTCATTGGAAATAGGGTATTAAGGAGGGTACTTTTGACAGACTTTGTTTCAAATTGGCATCCCAAATATCTAGCTACAGATACGGGGTAATAAAGTGGACATGTACATGTATGTAAAAGTAGCTGCACAAATCTAGAGTCTGCTTATCGTGCATTTTATAGAATGAAACGGGATAGTAACTTTGGAGCAAAATACTATAGAACATAAATCGGTTATACAAATATTAACACTTGGGATGAAGAACAGGAAATCTGAAAATTAATGAATCGTCATTGATGAGAAAAATAAAAAATCACATCATTTTATTCATTAGGTCATTTCATTGTGATGACGAGTAGGTGATTAGAATTTCAAAATGTACCCAGGAGAAATCTGCCCAGATAGAAAGCTTGTGACATATATTTACATTCAATATCATGCAGCACTTTACAGTTTTCTATTCTTCTGTTTTATTATTTGTTTAAATTTCTCCTTTTATTGAGATAACCCTATGTTAGTCTTTTTTTTCCTTCTGTTTTCCTCTTTCTCTCATTTTCTATGTTATTCCTTTTTTATTGTCTACATCTTTTTTTCTTCTTTTTTCTGTCCTCGCTTCATGTTCTCTTATTTTATCCTTCTTTTATCTTTTACTTTAATATCTTCTATTCATATACTGTTTTTTATATTCTTCTTTCACTTTCCCCTATTTCTGTCTACATAGGATATGACTTTTCACTCAGTTTTTGTCTTCTTTCATTGGTTCTTCTCTCTTTCCCTGTGTGTGCCTTTATTTTTCTCATTCGTATCTAAACAGTTATCTTTGTTCTTCTTCCTTCACTCATTTTCTCTTTCACACCTTTTTCGCATGTATTCTTTATCTTAAATGTTATCATCCTCCATGTTTACAATCAACTATGTTTATCTTTATTTTCTCATTCATATCACCTCATGACTGCGAATGGTGGTCATGTTTTACATAAAAATGTAAGAAAACAAAAATGACATAAACTCACTAATGCACAGAGAAGTTGCCCACTAATACCTTCCATTTTTTTATAAAGAAGAAGCATCCAAAGAACAGGAAATCATTAATAATTGGGGATGTGTCAATTTTGGTGGTGGCCTACCTCTTTGTTGAAGCGTACTTAAAAACACCAGAAAAATCTCACAAATTAAAAAATATAAATCCTTTTCACGATTTAGAATCTTATTTCCATACAATTCCATAACTTGGATCTCTGTCACCTTGATCAAGTGAAATTTTGAGGCTTTTTTTGGGGGGGGGGGGGGGGCTGGTGATTTATTTCCCTTGTCAAAACTCACACACAAGTTTGAGAATACTCACAGCAGTTGTACTCCACCATAGCTTTACAAAATGTACCTGTTGAAGAGGCTTCAATATGTCTTGTGTTCTAGTATTAATAGCAGGGATTGACCATTCATAGATATATAAATGTACATGAGGAAAAAATTATTCAAAATTTCCCTTCAACTCTGAAACACAAAATATGTACGTGTAGCATTAATTACAATACATGTATGGGTTGAAGAGTCCCTGAATTGAGTTTTTTTTAAATACAATGTAAGAGAAACAGAATGGCAAAAGTTTGAAATAAATCAGACCAATACTAAGAGTTATGAATGTTTGAAGTATGAGATCACTAAATAAATGTGAATCTCAAATTGGCAATTTGGTACATTCATGTAGACATTGATAACTCTTCTGTTTGTTGTCTACTTCACCTCTGAAACAAACATGTAGCATAAATTACATTACATGTGTGAGTTGAAGAGTCCCTGAATTGGGTTTTAAAAAAATACACTGTAAGAAAAAGAGAATGGCAAAAGTTTGAAATACATGATGTAGACATGTATGGATAACTCTCCTGTTTGTTGTATACAAAACATAATCTTAAGTGCCTTCTTCCTTGTGGAAATTATCAGTTTATTTACAGGTCCTCTTAAGATATAAAGAACCTTCTGAGTCATACATGTACATGTTTTTTTTCTTTTTCATTTACATTTTAGTCATTCTGTGTGTTGGAACAAATGGAAAAGTTGTCCGCCACTACATCCTATAGACGTTACTGATTCAGCCAATTTGAAGAGTCCATACCTACATGTTTTAATGATTACAAATTTACAACTTCAAAAATGTGTACATGTAACTTTGTCACTTTTAGTCTGATTTAAATTTAAATCAAATTGTCCCCATTGTGCTTCTTATATTTGTTCAGCCTTCCACTGGTAGTTTGCTAATACTAGAGAATAAGGTGGATTTCCCTTTAACATATATATATTAGGTATATTAAATCTTCTGTGAGAAGAGAGATTATGGTGTCTGTTTTTCACTATTGCAGCAGTGCAGTGGCAGATCCAGATTTGGGGGGGGGGGGGGCGCGGGACCCCCTCACTTGGCCCCATAAACAGGTAAATTTAACCTTTTTTTAGATTTAAAAAAGACGCCCCCCTGGAGAAAGGGGGGAGCAAAGGGGGGCCGGGGGTGGTGGGTGTTAACTCGGTGCTCAACATTTTTTCACGAATTGGGCCCCCTTTCAGCCGGCCCCCTCCCTTTCTGCAGACTGGATCCGTCCCTGCAGCAGTGAATTTCACTACAGTCACATAAAGGTCCCAATAGTGTCAACAATTAATTTGGATAAACTTGCATAAATTTGCATAAACTTCCATAAATGTGAGTGCAACCAAGATGATCAATTACAGAACAGGGACAACCAACAGCTTGTTCGCTAGACTGGTTAGAATAGCCTTAGGGCTAGGTGATAACATGAAATATGATATGGATGTCACTAAGCCTTAATTGGCACCCATATCGAGAGTGACACACCAAATTGCTATCCCTCCAGTATCAAATATTTACATTTTTTGTTAAATGTTTGTATTATTTTAAAGTGATTTGTATGAGAAGAAAGAAGAGTTTATATTACTAGTCCTACAGTATAGTAATACTAATCATACTAGTATTAACAGCTACCACCAGTGGGTAAGGTTATTTTAGTGTGGGTACTTCTAGTGGTTATTATGAACAAATTTGAATTTTTGTTTTATATCAATTATCAGTCTTGATAGGGGTACGGGTATCAATTAAGTGGCTCGGTAACATTGCCTCAGATTCTGAAGAAAAAACTCCTGGATTTAGCTCATGCTGCAATCATGATTACAAACATTAAGGTCAGTCAGGAATCCCATGACTTTACAAGCCGATTGCCTAGCTGTCTGATTATCAAGATATTTATGATTGGAAATCAAAATTTTATTTTTTGTTTACCTAACAGTTTTTTATTACATTCATGTACACTACAGTCTTTTGGGGAAAATGAGTATGGTAAAAATGGTAACTCAAACTAACAGATTTTTACTTCTTTGAGGCATTTCTATCATGATCATTTTGAAGCGCAATTTTGTTTAGGGCTTCAATATTACACCATATCACAGGCACTGATAACACATAGGGCCATACAGCTCAGATTGAATATTATTAAATGATGGGTATAGGCCAAGTGATATCAATGTTATTAGATCTACAACCTGCGTCTAGCAGCTACCATGAGCTGAGGATGCATGATGACACCGACAGTAGCCTATACGTGTGAAAATGCACATGCACATGGGTCATATGGCAAGATTATTAAGAAATCTGATTTGAACGTCATATGCTACCTTACGTAAAGTCCACGCCTAAAATGCAATCATTAGAGTCACAGTTTTTGATATTTTATATCGTATTCCACCCAGGCCTGCAGGGCAAAACCACTCCAGCAAGGCTAGAGTCAATTAATGCTTAGGCGTATTGTCCTCTAGCGCTGTTACATGTACGTGCTGAGAGGCAGCAATAGCACACGATGAACACATTGCACACAATTGCACACTAATGCACACAATGTATACAAAGTGGTTGATTAGCAAGTTTGACAGTAGACTCACGATTTGAATTTTTGAATTTTTCTTTCTAGTCTAGATCTATATGACTATAGACTAGATTCTAGATCTCTAAGTATAACTATAACATAGACCTAAGTTGAAAAAATTGTATGCTATTTAGGTGTCATCAACTCCCGGCCCCCCCCCCCCCCCCCCACTCCGAGAACGGATGGACCCCATGCGTGTTACCAAAATGTCCTTTTCGTAACAAAAGAAAAAGGTCGACCCGTATTGACTTTACACACCGGACTTTTGCTGAAAAAGGCTTGTATAACAAAAGAAAAAGGTCGACCCGTATTGACTTTACCCCGGCCCCCCACGCAGGGGTCGGAATGACCGTATGCGTGTTACCAAAATGTCCGGTAAAGGGGTACTTTTCGTGCGACAAAGTCCGGCCCGAGAATTGTAAAAAAAGGGGTGTATTTGACTTTTCACCCGGAGATTTCTTTAAAAAGGGTTTTTTTTTTCTTTTTTTCTCTCATCTCTTTTGACTCCTGAGAAATTATTCTGAATTTAGGGGGGTGCATTGAGCATTTTTCCTGATTTAGGGGGGTCTCCAAGGCAGGAAAAGCCTGTGAAAAGCCCGCGAAAGGGGGGTTCGAAAATGTTGGCAGTCCTCAGATAGGGGGTGCTTTCAAAAAGAGGGAACGAGCATATGCGTACCCTAAATAACACTGAGTGGGGGGGGGGGGGGCCAGGGACTTTACACACCGGACTTTTGCTGCAAAGGGGGGGGGGGAACACGCATATGCATACCCTAAATAATACTGAGTGGGGGGGGGGCGGGCATCAACTATCACTAAAGTACCGATTTTGAGTGAAATCAGTTGAGTTTTGTACAGTGTAGTTTGAAATGCTGAAAATCAATATGAACAGTTTTTAATACACAGCTGCACAGCCAGGATAGTAATGCAGCTATGTGTGGGCAAAACCAGGGACATGGCTCGTGATGTCCACCAGTCTAGGTTTCCTGCCGGGCGGGAGCGGCGGGCCCGGCGCACCTGGTAGGGCTATTATTTCCATTTGAATGTGCAAGTTAGATTTATTTAAAAAAAGAATAAAATACGGTGTTACTGTAGAACCTACCTTAATCAGACGGATGGGCACATAATAGAGACCTATCTTGATGTCAGGATACTAATGTGGTCTAGTTGTTTCAGTCGGGCAACCGTGTTCGTGAAAGAGAAGAAAGACAGCTGCACGATGCGATGGAGAGTTAGCTCGAGAGCGGGCTGCCGTCGCGTCCGGGGCATGCATCGCAGGCGGTCAGATCCGAGCTTCCAGCGTGGCCGTGGATGCGCCAGATTCAGAGCGAGTGCTAGTTTCTCGAAACTGCCATAAGTCTAAGCTCGTGGAGATTTGGTAGAAACACGTGTTAGATCTCTATCACACGTTTCAATACGATGTCTAAAAAGTTAGACTTAATGACGGTTTCGTGAAACCTCCCCAGGTGTTCGGTGTCAGGGATCTGGGCAGCGTTTCATGAAACCGTCATAAGTACAAGTCCAACGACATCCCATTGAAATGTGTGTATTACGTTTAACACACGTTTCAATGGGATGTCGGTGAACTTGTAGTTATGACGGTCTCATGAAACGCTGCCCAGATCCAGTGGATGCCTGGTACTGGGAGGCGCACGCCCACCCCCTTTTTTTTTCTCCCGAAAAAAATGTGTTCGCATACATATTCTGTTTAAGCATTTGGATAGGCCTCAGAATCTGCCAAAAGGCTAAGATTATCCGGGGACCGCATCCAGTTGAAGGCTTCGTTCTCGCAATTTCGTTTATTTCAAGCTTCCTCCTCCCCCCCCCCCCCCCTCCCCTGTAAAGTCTTTGATCTGCCCCTGGATGTATGGCCGGGTAACCTGGCGCTACAGTCGTTTGTAGAAAAAAATGTTGCTGGGCGCTGTCGCCTGGTTAATGAGTCTAACCACAAAAAGTAGGTCTTAAAATAGCGTTAATGACTACTGGACGCAAATCAAACACATGTTGGATGTGATACAAAAACGGGTCAATACATATTGCATCATTTTTCCAAAACTGGTCAATGACTTTCATGTCGCAGCTCGTATCGGGTGGCTCATCGCTCATCGCTATGCCCAGTATAGAAGTGGTTGGAACGTTATCATCAGTAGGGTCATAAAGGGAGCGTCATGATTCGTAGTAGGTCCATGATTGTAGGAAGACGACGACGACTCCTGTACTAACTCCCATGCGTACAACGGGCGAAAGTTCCATAAAACAAGATTGAAATAGAAACGAATGAAATCATGGGATTTACTAAGAAAAAAGAACTCTTTGTTGTTCAAGGGGCTGCTTTGAATCTACTTTTAGTATTATCTGCAACGATACAGACAATTTTAATTCAAATTGATGTTTATATATATATTGCGCCCTTATCAAACTTAAAAACTGATTAAAAAACATATCATTTACGCCCTAGCTCATTCCATTTATCGAATGAGTTCGCCTTTGACCTAGGGACACGTTCAGTATATTCTATGTATCCCCTTAATGCTTAACGTAGCAGATGTCACAATATATTTAAATGCAATTTGATAATCAAAGTTCACGGGCTACACAGTTTCATGATTTTATCCAACGTAGCAATCATGCACGAACATTGCAACCTTAATATCCTTGTCCTGTATACCTGAAATGGTTTAAAGTTGGTACACGGAGGAAACTTAGTATCAAAATCGCCCCCCTCCCCTCTAGTCGCCTTCTAAGCGATGTAAAAGGGTGACACACGCACATACACACATACGCACACACAAAGTATAAACGTCAGTGTTTAATGAGCGATGCAAACATTCCAAAATCATAAACCTAGCAAGAAGGCATTTCATAGCGATACAACTACTGAATGGGGTTGTGTACGTGTGTGTGTGTGTGTGTGTGTGTGTGTGTGTGTGTGTTGGGGGGGGGTGGGTAATTCGGCCCTTCCTATAGATATCGATACAAGTATACATCATGTAGGTGAAGATAGAGGCAAAGACAAAACAAACTATAGTTCATATAAAAATATGATGTATTAGCTTGACTATCTGCATTATTAAACAAAATGCCGAACAGATGAAGAACATTACCACAAACTGAGTCGTATCTAGAGGTAAATATAGCGAGTTCTCTTATCTTTCCTTACTTGTATGTGTTCCCACATTTATTTTGCTTTAATCTTTGCTGTATGATTGTGCTTCAGAATCATAGTAAAGAATTTCTCTCAAAATTTCGATATTATAATTTAACCTCATTATACTTAGTTTCTGTTTAATGAGTCTTTGGTTCCGTACTTTCTAGCTACTTAGACAGTAGATCTGTAATTTTGTTTCGTGCCAAGAATTGTAATGTAAATGAGCAGTATTTATTGGTCCATCAAAAAGTTGGGAGAAATGGAGAGAAAGTTGAAAATTACAGAAGATCGACTCTTGGAAAAAGGAAGACAGTAAATAACAAAAATAGTTTAACACAAATGATATACACCTAATTTATTAATCTAAGAGCAGTAGTTTAGAGCAATTCCATACCTCGTTCTCTCACTTTTACGTCAGGTATGTATTTAAGCCCCTAAATCCAACTATCATATTGCTCCGATTGTCTCATTTTCGCTCGCGTGAACATTGCCAGCACAAACCACTGACCTCTACCTCCTGCACGGATCATCGCCCATTCCCATTCACTATACGTTACGTACTAACAGGCTGTATTGTCTGACCGTTCATGAATATTCATGTTTTTGCTAAACTCGGCAAAATGTTTGCTTTTACTAAATGGAAAAATTACGGTGGGGGGTTGGATGAAATGGACATAATGAAATAGGCAGAAGTGATCTATGATAATTCATGCGTTTTATGTTTCGTGTGCTCGACCTATAATCTTCAAATCGCTTGGTAAACTGAGTCTTTGGAAAACTACATGGGTATGGACTATGTTGCGTGTTAACTAGTAATCCCACATAATTCCCTTTTTTAATTAAACTACTAAAAAGCAGTATCCCTCCAGACAAGAAAACACTTAATAAATGATCACATCCAGACAAATTGATTATGGTTAAAAACTGGTTCTATATTCTATAATTTCACATAAGATACAATGATTACAGAATTATCAGAAACCTCTTCTGTCTATCTCAACAGTGACAGACAAGTATCACTAGGCCCTTGGTAGTTACTATTAATAATCAAACATAGATAACTTCCAACAGCACATTAATGTAAAGGAGACTCAACTTAGTCACTATGGTATTAATGATTACCGCTGAATACAAGTCTCGAAATATCAGGAGTCTAGCTGTTCAGTACAACTTAAAACCGTACTAAAACAAGTCAGTTAAATATCATTCACACTGCATGAATAATAACAGTCAAGAAAATACTACTCAAATCTAAGCTAGACAGCGTTTAGATTTACTTACATAGGCACGAAATATTGTGGTTCAAGAAACCGCTAAACAAATCTCTACTTGTGTATGTGTACGGAATGCACAACACGAGAATACAACAATATATCGGTGGATCTAGACTATAGCAGATCTAGATCAGTAGACCAGGCATAGGCCTAGAACTAGTGCAATTATAAACATGTAAAATATGTGTTAGTAAGCGTACGCACTCAACAACAGGCACTCAGTCAGTCAAAATAAGGCCTCACAATGATAAACAATGCAAAGCATAAATCACAATATAATTAACGTTACGTGAGTCATTGGAGTTGAATTCAAAGTAGATCTTCTTCAAGTTCTAGGTAGATGTAGAAACTAGCTAGTCGAAAACAGTGGTCGACGAGCTGGTTGTCGATCGCGTAGGATATGCAGACGATGATCGACGCTAGATGAATACAACGATGATGACAACAATGATGAAGACGACGCTGGTGAAGACAGCGATGATGAAGTCGACGATGAAGACGACGCTGGTGAAGACAGCGATGATGAAGACAACGGTGATGAAGACAACGATGATGAATCAGTTAACAGATGAATACAATGATGATGCAGTCAATGTCAATAGATCAACTTCAGTGACTTGCGATGCAGGTCGAAGAATCAAATGTCGAGACAATATATATGAAGTCGATGATAAAAGGTTGTCAAACAATAATGCAGGTGAGAAAAACGTTAGATCATATTAAATGTTCTATTCTCACTGCTGGTGAATTAAAGTGTCGTCAATGTTGAACATCGAGAGAGTCAAAATATATCTTGCAAAACGTACAAGATGTAAATAGGTGAGCACGTCCACCGGGAATGGTCCGGGGACGTAGCAGTTCAATCCTCGTTGGATACAATTTTCTAGGTACAAATATCAACACAATGACAGCATGTGTGTATACCAATATTAAAACAGCTCACTGATTTCCGCACAGGAAAATCAGAAGAGCGCCAATCAACTACAGCGCGATTGGTTCAAAACAAGCGCACATGTATGTTAATTAAGCACGTGATCTAAATACTTATGAATAAATACGCGTACATCTATGTTAATTGGTCATGTGATCAAAATACTAATGAATAAACATCGTGCAGTAATAAATCGAGTTAAAACCAGTTCTGAGGACATGGCGTAATACCAAATCCTCGAACTCTCAATGACTTCTAAAGCGGCCATTTTGGATTAAAAACACAATATGTATACCAGTGAATTATAAATGAATGCACTGTAACATTTGTCGCTACATTAACCCCCCTACTAGACCCGAGCTTGCGTAAGCTCCGAGGGGCGAAAATACACAATTAAAAATATAAAGGAAACATATGTACAAAATACATTAATATACATGAAAATAACCACTATTTATGCGACACGTTCAATGTAGTGAACCTGAACGTACCTTTGCGGCCAGTGGACGTGGCGGCCTGAACGTGTGACACGCGCAGCAGGTTGCGATTTCACCAGAGCAGGAGCAGGCGTAGGAGCAGGTGCAGGAGCAGGCGCAGAGGTTGCGCGAAGTGCTGTGCGCAGAGGGGAGGAGACGGTAGGCTCTCCCTCTAGAGGCACGTCAGCCGCGGTAGTCCTAGCCGAAACGCTTTCCAAAAATGCGGGTTTCAGTCGATCAATGCTTACAGAAACATGCTTGCCCTTTTGCTCAATAACGAAAAACTTCGGGGTTCGTTTGAGAACCTTGAACGGACCCAAATACGGAGGCTGTAATGGCTTACGGACAGCATCGATACGCAAGAAAATATGCGTACAAGTATCGAGAGACCTATGTACAAAACTGGTCTGTGGTGACCTACGTGTCGCTGTAGGCGCTAAAACAGACATATGGTCCTTCAAGCGTTGGACGTAGTCCGCGGGGTCAACAGTATCGTGTCGCGTAGGCACTATCAGCTGGCCTGGAAGACGCAACGCCGTCCCGTAGACTAGTTCGGCAGCGGAAGCTCCGATGTCTTCCTTAATAGCTGCGCGGATACCCAACATGACCAAAGGAAGGTATTCTTGCCAACGGTTCGGCTCGGGTTGAGATTTGAGAGAGG